TCTGAATGCAAATTGAATGTAGGCTGAAAGAAATAAAAAATATGGACAGTTTATGAAATCTTGAGTGAGGACCCCTAGAATAAATAATGCTGAATATTAGCGAGTATCTTTCTCTCCCATATGTTCTTTCATCCAAATAAAACCATAAAAAGGGCCTTGATTTCTTAACATTAGTATTTAGCAGCTGGCTCTTCACTCGCCTTTAAAGATGGTTTACAACCTACTCTATATCATTGAGCCAAGTCTGGCCACCTGGCCTCCATATTGGTGTTATATTACAATTACACTCCATTCCACTGGGGTGACTTGAAAATGTTTTATAACAGCACAATCATTTTTAACTAATATCTAAGATTGTGGATTATAGATAAAAAATATAAAACTAAAAAAATCTACACATGGCTTGTCTAGTTTCCTTTATTATATTCCTAAGCCTGGCCAAAAGCATTAAAATTGCCTACTTATTTCTGGCTCCAGAATCATACTCTATGCTAATATTTTTTGTTCATAGAAATATGATGTCAACTCTGAGACTTTTTCTCAAATACAGCATGTCACTGTCAGACAACATACATAATCAAATATTTCACCTTAATCCCTTCCTTGCCAATGAACTGCTCATTTGTTATCATTTTCTTTTTCCATATCATTCCGATGAATTTGATTACCTAGACATTTAAATTTTCACCGCTTTCTCTTATCATAAAATAATGTTAATGTTTCAGGTTCTTTTTCAGATCTCCTGGAGTCCAGATGCAAAATAATTTAACTGAAGTGTGAAAGAGCTAAAAAATTGTGGCAAATGATCCTACTTTTCTTTAAATCAATGTTTTCCTTAAACTGTGAGCTGAATGTCCCTGGAAATTCATATCAATGATATTCAACTGGCTCTTGTGGGAGATTTAATGCAAGAATATAAAGGAGCATAATTACACTAGTATGTTAAAGATGGTATTAAATTTACCCTTCATATAGATTTACTTTAACTATGATTCGAATTTTGATGTTGAAAATATACATTTTTAAATGTACGATATAACATCTGGGAGTTATGATGCTCAGAACAGATACTGTCACAATTCATGCTTTACGTTATGTAAGAATATCATAATAATATAACTTAAAAAATCTGTTACACTGTACTGTGAAGGGGCCTTGTAACCATTAGAAAATCCAGCTAAGAGTAAACAGTTACAATTCAGATGTTTTGATATATTTTTTTTCAAATGTTACTCTATAATGAGTTGCCATATAATGCTGTGCACTGGATTTACACCTAGGACAAAATTTAAAAAGAAAAATACCTAAATAGAATTGTTGTGATCATAAAATTTAACTAAAATATAAAAGCATGTCCAAGATCTTCACTTTTATCTACAAACATGAAAAGAAAGTTGACACTTCTTATGGTATACATCATGATAATAGCATGATAAGTTTTACCTTTGTCAAGGAGGTTATGTTTTTGGTTGAGTTGGTTAGTTAATTTATTTGTTCATTGGTTAGTTAGTTAGCAGAATAATTCAAAAAGTTATGAACAGTTTTTAAAAATATTTACCAGAGAAGTGTCTAGCCCATTAAATTTTGGTGATGATCCGGACTATGTTCTGGATTCTGAGCAGGATGACTTATAAAGTTATGAATAGATTTTTATGAAATTTTTACCAGAGGTACATCTTAGCCCATCTTATATACCATTCAATTTTGTTGATGATCATGATCACAATCCAGATCCAGGAATTTTTAATGTAATTCTTCAGACGTGAATATTTTTATAGTATCCTAGGTATGCACTCTTTGAGTACTGCTAGCTTTTATAAATCACCTAAGGCTATGAATTTAATAATGGGTGACCATCATAAATATGGAAATAGCCTATAATGTAGATCCTGATAAAACATTCTTATTATGAGAAAAATTAATGTCACTTAAATTTTGCACTTAGAGATGAGAATCTGATAGTTAATTAAACACCAGGACAATAGTTGTTGGCAGAATTAGATGACAAACCCAATCCCCTCATGCCTAGAAAGACTTTCTCATTATCCTGATTTTCCTACTAAACAGGAAGAGCCAATTGGATATCTTAATCAAAAATAGTCATAAAAAATAATAAGGATACTTGACAAAGACCTTTCTGAATTTCTTTCTCTGAAGATTTTACTGAGTTTTATAGGTCCAAGTGTAGTGTACATTAGCAACTTTCTGAAAATTCACCAGATACACACTTCAGATATTGAAGAAACTTCCTCTAAGAATCTTTAATTTTACCTAAGCATGGTAAGCTGCACAGGAAGAAAATACATATACATACATGCAAAATGTGTGAATCATTTGAAAGCCTTTCAGAGAAATTCTTTTGGAAAAACATTTTCTTATACTAAACATCTTTTTTTTTCTGTGTTTTTTCATTCAATTTTTATTTTCTTTAGTATCATCATGATTTTAAAATATTTTACCTTTTATTTACTTCAGCAAAGGGTCAATCATGACAAAATCA